TATTTCAAGACAAGATGTCGGCTTCATTTTTGATGGTGGAAAAGCAAGTTAGGGGAATGAGGTTCATTAGTAAATCTCCAAAGGGTTATAATCATAGATTCCCATCAAGGAAATATTGCTAATAAACTTTTGTCTAATCTAGTTGAAATAGTAAAGAAAACATTCTATAAGATGTTACATACTGATTTCTGGAGTAACAAATAATTTTCATTATTTTTATGTTTTTCCTTTGAGACGAGGTCTCACTACATAGCTCTGGCTGGCCTGGACCTCATTCTATAGCCCAATCTGGCTTAAAATTCACCAAGATCCAGCTGCCTATGTTTCCCAAGTATTTGGTTGAAAAGTGTGTGCCACTACACCCAGCACCAAAACACATTTACAAAGAAAGAAACAAAAATTTTATTTTTACCTACTGTTCTCACACTGGTTGGAATGCTCTTATCTTTTATATTTTGGGTAGAAGCTTTGTCATTTAATTCTTCATTATTTCTCACAGCTCATCTTCCCTCCACCCGCCTCCAACCATGATATGAAGGCAAGGAGCAAAACAGACTACTATTTGGAAAGGGCACTGTAATCAAATTAATAACTGCCTTGCCTTTAAAAATCAGAATTTATAAGGCTGAAATAATGGCTCAGCAGTTAAAAGAATCTGCTGCTCTTCCAAAGGACTCACCACTGGTTCTCAGCACCCACCTGGGGTAGATCACAACCACCCTCAACTCCAGCTTCAGGTGATTAGAGACCTTTTCTACCCTCCCCAGGCACCTGAAGATAAGTAGCGTGCACACACACACACACACACACACACACACACACACACACACACACACACACACACAGAGTCAGTTCCTCATGCAATTTCTTCCTTTTGTTCTGCATACATCAATAAAAAGTGAGAAACACTGATTGATCATTTTTTGCAGTGCAACTTTGAAACATCTCTCTTGAGAATGCAATGTAACACTGGCAGAAATAAAAACTAGTGGATATAAAAACCCCTCCATCAGTCTAATCTTTCAACAAATCAAATAGTTTCCAATTTTTAAGCCAAAGTACCAGTCTTTGCTTTTGAGCATGCATAGGTTTTCCCTATCGGCATAAAAGAGATTCTGCCTTTTTTCACGTTATCTCATAAACATTTCACATATTGTGTCATTTTCATAACTATCATGAAAATACATGTATTGATGGGTTACTGTCACACAATAAATCATTTTTCCACTCTTGAACATGGTGCCATCTTTCCCCACCTGTCTTCTCTTACAACAATTAAACACCAACATTTTCACTTACATAACTTTCTGTTGCCTTTGAGGTTTCTCCCTTCACATACATCCTCTGAATACAGAACCAGGAATATTTGAATGGATCTTATACTGAAAAAGTACTTTCTGAATTTACAGTCATTAACAGCAACATGTACACGTACAATGCATACTGTGGCTTCTGCTAGCATTTTATTTATTAATGGTATTAATAAAAACCATTAATTTGGTATTAATATTTCCTGTGAGAGGGAGGATACTAACTTCATAGTGGTTAAGTCTTTATGATTTCATATTAATAAAATATGTGGTTTTAATCTACATTTTTATTACTATGATTGCTAAATGCTTTACTGTATGAGGTGATCATATTTTCTACTATGGATTATCTCTGAGGCGTGCTTTAGTTTGCATCTCTTGTGAGGGCAGGGGGTGTGTCGTAGTTGGTAGAGTGCTTGCCTAGTGTATACAAAGCTCTGGGTTCAATCTCTAACGTAACATAAACAGGGCATGGAGACACAAACCTGTCATTATGTCACTTGAAAGTAAAGGCAGGAAAAGCAGAAGTTCAAGGCCATTTTCCTCTGCAACATAGCAAATTGGAGGCTAGTCTTGGATACTTTAGATATGTCTCAAAAAATATACATGTGTTTTTATACTCTAGACAATAATCTTATACCTTATTAAATACACATTTCTAATAGAAACTGTTTCTCTTCTACTTCGATATTTTATAGCAGGTATGTTTGATAATTTAATAACATTAAATATGTTAAATTGTGTTCCAATGTGAATTTTTTCCTATTCCTTCAAAGCACAGAGCAATCCTGCCAAATATCTTATAGATGCAGATTCATTATTTCATTATTTTTTAATTGTTTATTTAATCAATATTGAATGCACTTTGTCATTCCATGAGAAGAGAGTTTATTTTATTTTATTATTTTTTTATTTTTCTTCAATTTGTTATTTTTTTAATTTAATTTTTTTATTTCCTTTTACATACCAACTCCTGTTCTGCCTCCCTCCTCTTCTCCCACTCCCCCCACACCCACCCCTATCCCCTCCTCATAGAGGCTAAGGCCTGTCTTTGGTAGTCAACACAGGCTGGCATACCAAGTTGGGGCTGAACCTAGCCCCCTCCTCCTTGCATCAAGGCTGAGTAAGGCATCACACTATAGGGAATGGGCTCTAAAATGCCAGTTCATGTACCCAGGATAAGTCCTGGTCCCATTGCCAGGGGACCCACAAACACATCAAGCCACACAAAGAAGAGAGTTTAAATTGCTTCAATTTAAAGATTGTTAGTTGTATGAATGTTTATGAAAATCTTCCCTTTTTGCATTTGATAACACTTATTTTATTTATGTTAATTTCTTGCATATACAAGGCCAGAATTTTCTATACTTTCCTAGGTAAAGCATCATAGGGAAAATGAAAACCAACTATATTTCTATGAATGATAATTTGATATGTAGAATGGGCCTTCAATATTAGGTCTCCTTTTTACTTGTAAGTGTTCATTACAATGAATCATTGGTCTGATTCGAGGCCTCTGGTTTCTGCCACACTATTGATACTGGGCTATGCCTTCTTTTTTAAAAAAACCCTAGTATAATTGACTTATTTCTCAATATATATATATATATATATATATATATATATATATATATATATTTCACCTCTTTTTTGTTTGGTTTTGTTTTTTTGAGACAGGGTTTCTCTGTGTAGCCTTGGCTGTCATGGAAGTCACTCTGTAGACCAGGCTAGCCTCCAACTCAGAGATCCTCCTGCCTCTGCTTTTCGAGTGCTGGGATTAAAGCTGTGCACCACCACCACCTAGATCACGTCACCTCTTAAAGACCTACTTGAAGGTCTTTATGAACTTGAACTCCGTTATAATAAATTAATCAGAGGGCATATGCATATATAATTTTACATATCTTTGTATACAAGGATATAATATGCATCTTTATTAAATCTTTTGTAATTCACAATCAATACTATTTTTAAAGGTGACATCTGCAGTATTGTGTAATGAAGGAGCTGAAAGAGATAATGGGAAAGACAAAAACTACGCCATGAGACATGCGCATACAGCTAAGCTCAAGTCTTAAGACTCTCTCAGCCTCTGTCACTAGCACAGTTACCACGTTTCTAGAAAAGGTTAGGTGATACGGAACCCATGATACAGCATGTCCACGATACTGACATTTTACAGAGTCTTTTTATGCGGCTCACCTCATTTGCTGTGCTTGATAGAGATGGTGTTGTGCTTATCACTAATATAAGACCAAAAAGGTCAACATACATCTTTCAATCCAAAGCACAAGCTCGCCTCATAACAACACCATATATACAAATCACGTGCTAAGTTATGGTACAAATCACACTGTCCTTACATTTTGTCACCTTTCTGCTGTAACAGTTGTAATCATCTTTTCTTACTTTCCATGTATTTCAGATTGCTCAAAGGAATACTGCTGATTCTAGTATGTACACCTCAAGCTCAAGGTTTACTGAGTTCTTTACTGTCTCTTTTTAAAAGTTTGAATCATTTAGGTGTTTTTTTTTTCTAAAGGAGGTTGTTATAGTTCCAAAAACAAGATGTTTGAGATTCATATATCAATAAAAATTAGCTAATAAAACAAACAAGGCTGGCAAGATAGAACCTGAATTTGATCCCTGGGACCCACATGGTAGAAGGTGAGAACCCACTCCCACACGTTGTTCTGGCTTCTTCATGCACACGCTGCTCCCCGTCACCACACACAAAGCCAATAATAAATCAATGTAATAATCAAAAAGCTCAGCTTAATAAAACAAGAGGCCACGCATTTGAAGGAGAGCATGGAGGAGTTCATGGGAGGGTTAGGAGGGAGGAAAGGGAAGGGAGAAATGATGTAATTATCCTGTAATCTCAAAAAATAATTTTACAAAAGCCCAGCTATCTATCGTGATACTGTGGAAACTTAAGTTCCTAGCTTGTGTAGCTATTCCGTATAAGTTTCTTGTGCTTAGGTGGCAAGATCTTAAGAGTTTTTCACATCCCTTCTTTAAACCTCTCATTACTGTACCTGGCAGGCATGGCTAATGTGCCAGGGTGGCAGAGAAAGGAATCGAAGACACAGCCTACATCCTTATTTTCACCTTGGTGGACTTTGTAACTCACAGGGAAGAGAGAAGAAATAAATACCTGGGAAGGGGCTGCTGCTGAGGGCTGAGGAGCGCTTGGAGGCTTTCCAGCTTCAGGGTGTAGCTGATGAAACTGTTTCTTATCACTGCCAACACTTGCCATTAGCAAACGCAAAATGCAACCTTTCATTTTCTCCCAGATCATTTCAGGATGGGAAGATACATTGTTTTCCTCGCTTCAGTTCACTCCCTACTCCATATTTCTCATCTGTACCTGGTGCACTACATGCTTCCTTGAAGACTTGGAGGAAGAAAGTGCCTACTTTTTTTTTTTTTTTTTTTAATCAACTCAGTGGGCTAAAAGGACCAAATAAGACACGGCCAACTCTGCTTAAATAATCGACTCTACCAAGGTGTCTCAAAGTACCTCATTTTTACTTGATCTATTTCACTGATTATAAAAATTTAAAAACACACATCTAGCCATAAAGGTAAAAATAAAAATGTCCAAGAGTGCACAATGATCCCCCCCCCCCCCGACCGCCGCCTTGGCAGAACCTGGCGGTGGGCTCCTGGGGCGGCTCTAGTACTCACGGGTGAAGTGGTTCGAGGTGGATGGATTGACGCTATCCCCGCTGTCAGCGCTTTCACTGCTGGAGACTTCATCATCGGATTCCCGGGCAGAGGAGCAAGGTGAGGAGGCGTCGACATCTTCAAACTTCCTCTTTAGAATTCCACTCATCGCTGCGGCGTTGTCACATGTACCTGGGGCGGGAAGGAGCAAGCAGCCATTGAAATCGGACTGTTGACGTCATGGGGCTTTACCACAGGAGCTGAGCTGTAGCTATCCCTTGACAGTATCACGAAACAGATTTATTTTTCTGTTTCGAGTTAACAAAAACAGGGTGAAAATTAATAGGAGTCCAGCATGTCGATGGTTTTCTAATGTCTTTGTGAAATAGCTCAGCTTAATGCAGCGCCATTAGTCTTTTGAGTTGGCAAAATGAGAAAAACCACTTGAGTCCGTGAAATTCTATTTAAAAAAAAAATGGCAACGCCCTCAAAGTCTGAAATGATTAACCGTGCTGTGCAAAATTCATCTAGAAGCGACAACTGAAAGTAGGCTGTAAAATTTTATATTTAGAAAATTTCAAATTCGAGGAACCTCGTTAGCAAAGCATAAAGAAGCATATGAAATCAATTCCGAATTTTAGGTGGTTTCCATTTTAATGTTGCTACAAGATGAACTTTGTCCCCATGCTACCTGGTTCTTGAAGTTGCTGCTACCTTTCTGGAAATGTCTTGAGGCTCCGAACGCTAGGGATTGCACTGACTGAGTGGGACCAGGGACTGACCAGCGGACATGTTTCCTTCTGAGGCATTTGTTTGTGTGAATGAGTTTTTTCTTTCCCGGGTGCCTACCTAACCCTCACTCCTGGTTTACCTTGACAACCAGCTAAATATACCAACTTTCTTCTCAAAGCAATGACATGTTAGCAAATAAATTAGCTCTGGTATTTCAGCACAATCTCCCTTTGAGAAATTAAGTTAACTTAGCCCAAAATATCGCAAGTTGATTCCAGACATTTGAACTCCCGTGTAAGTTCTCCGTGCCACAGCACAGCTCTCAGTCTAGTAGATCAAGAGAGAACCCTCAGTTACATGATCTCAGAACTGCTCACAGAAATCTCTGAAAACCACCCCTCGCCGGTGCAGATCACAGAGTAGGCAGCCCGCTCAGATCCCCTGGGCTGAACCTGCTCGCCACAGTCTGAATCAGGAGTTCTCAAAGAGCACTACCGGCATCAGTAGCCGCGGGGTAACCTGGGAAAGAGAGGCTTAGTATCTTTTCAATTTCCAGGCCAGATCCACCAACTAAGAAAGCCCCAGGGATCAGAGACCTTTGCGAAGCACCAAACGGTCTGTCTGATACATTCTCAAACCGAGAAACCCATGCCAGATTTTCGATTTGTGTCCGGCACCTTCCTTCTCGGATTTTACTCTCCATGAATGTGTTGGAAACGACAGTGCTCAATTCCCAGTCAGTTCTCTGGCCACTTCTGATGTGACTCTTAATAAAACCAAACATGATGTTTGATGTATCACGTCCTTGTTCTTAATTTCAATTCAATCCTTCTAGGCAAGTGTTGAGTAGCTGACATATTTAACTCACTGAGTGAAGTAATAGATTTAAAAATAAAATAGTTAAAAACAAGTTACCTGATGTCATAGAGCAAGGGATTGACTGCTCTGCTAGGCTCCATCAAATAGCAAAACGCCCCCAAATTATGCACCACAGTTTTGTTAAATGTTCAGCTTCTGCCTGACGGAATTAACTATGGAGATAGCTGATAGCCACAGGAAAATATATCGTTGTCCATTCCCCTGAGGATAAAATCTCGATTCTACTCTCATTTTACCACTATTCAGATTAGCCTATTATTTTCTTCATCTGAAAGGGTGTGAAAGGCATAAAATGTTCATGCATATCTGAGCCAGCCAAGAGGGGGGAAAAGGATATTTTAAGTAGAGTCTTGAAATAAAAGTAGGACAGGATATAAATTTTAAAATTATTTCACTTCAAGCAAGATGCAAAGTAATTCATGAGGGAGAGACTCCAAGACACAAAATAATGTAAGAAGGAAACCTATGGTCAAGGCACACATTTCTGTAACAAGATACTGCAGTGGAAACCGTTAAATCGTTGCTGTTTAGTTTCCCTCCCCCAAATCCCCACTTCCTTAAGCAGGATAGATCTGGGAACTCTATCAACAGGGAGCCAGGCCCAAACATCTCCTAGGTTGACACTTGGTGCTCCCCTCTCCCTCTCTTGATCCTTCAAGCCGGAACTGCTGACGAGATGAAAAATGAAATTTTTTGCCTTTTTTTAGTTCATATTTGGACAAAAGCTGCCGTAATGGAGTTAAAACCTCCTGGATGCAATTTCCGTCTAGATCCTGAGAACTGAAAGGGCCTCGGCTGAACAAAACACAGAGGATGTGGGCAGCAGGCTGCTGAGTGGGGCAGCATATCCAGGACAGAGACCTGGGAAACTGGTTGACGCCCAGCTTGGTTGTGTAACAATGAAGCAAGACATCTGCCTTATCTCACTATATGGGCATGTCAAGATAGGATAATGAAATATGAAGAACAGGCATCCACTCCTTTCTGGTACATAAGCTCTAACATATTGAATAGAGTGGTAAAGGGAGATAGAGTCACCTCCTCTGTCGCCTCCCTCATCTTACTAGGAGATGGGAGAATACAGAGATTTAGGGAGATGATATTGTTAGTATGTTATCTGCCAGACGATCCATCCCAGAGCAATGTGTGGCTGCATAGATACAGACCCAAGCGAAGACGATGAATGTCCATCCTACACCTACCATTGTTCCCTGAACAGCACATTCTCTACTTCTTCCTTAAAAGATGACACAGAACTGGAGAGTTAACAAAACAGAAAAGTGTGGACGTTTCAAACAGGTTTTATACAGAATGAAAGGTCAAAGAAAAGTTGGGCAGGCACTGACTTATCCTGAATGAAAGGAAGTGGAAAGCTAAGGCTGGAGTGGCAATCTTTCCTCAGCGATCACTCTCCTGTCCCGGGCACCATCACCGCACTTGGACTAGGACGAATGCCCCATCATTCTCCTCTCCCATCCACTGCTCTTTGCTCTTGATACGTTTGCCCAGTTACAGACAGATTGAGAAATTTAAAATACGAAAGCCATCGTACCAGTCTGTAGTTTAAAACTCCAAAGTGGCTTCACATCATCTTACGGGTTCAAATCCCCCAATGTCTTTACAAACCCAACCTTCTAGCTTGACTAGCCTTGTTATTTACTTTGGGCCTCTGCTTTACTGATATTTCAGCTCTGAGGCTATTTCAGTGCCTTAAACCTAGTAGTTCTCTGTCCTCTAAGCTGTTTTGGATAATTGTCCTCTTAACTACTTTTTCCTCTTTTTCTATAGCATTTCCTACTTTGTAAATGTAGAGTAGGTATTGGTGGGTCTCTACATTTGTTACATGTTGTCGTAGCCTCTGATAATAGACCGAAGGGAAGGATTCGTGTTTCCTTTATTGATGTTCCAAGGTGTAGAAGAGTCTCTTCTACGTAACAGGTGCACATGGACACATGTTCAGATTCTGAATGAACTCTGTCGATTCTAAGCCTTCATTACTGTGTCACATTTGTTTGCCCTTCTAGACAGAAAGCTCCAGGAAGGGAAAACAAGAATTAACCCAATTCATTGCTCCATGTCCCGTAACAAAACAACTGGAATATTTGATTAAATGAGCATCAAAATGAGATGAAACTGCCATCAAAATGCCCCCCCCCACACTTATGAAGTCAACTATGAGCAAGGCATGTGCAAAAGATACTTTTAAATTATCCTGCACTGGTTCGCCCAATGTAAGATGAGATGCAAAGAACAACAACAACAAAAAAAAAAACAATTGAAACACAGAGAGATCACAGCGGCACCAGAGGCGCAGCTGTAGAAAGTGCTGGATATTTTTGCTAAGCTTTGCTGTCACCATGACTAGGGTCCAGGAACTTGTCTGCAGGACTCATGCTTGAATCCAATGTTCTAAAAACTGACCTATTTTTGGAATCTCCTGGATCAGGGACTTTGCCCTCTAATAAGACCATTTCTTGATCAACTGGCAGAAAGGTGATGGATGCTACTCCAGAGAATCTCACCGGGGGCTTGTGGAAGTCAACTCCATTTCAAAGCCAGTGTCTTCTGCTGTCTGACATTTATCTTATTTCTTTTCATTTATTAACATAATCCTGGAATTTAGTTGACTAGATTCTTAGCCTAGACCTCCATTCTCTATATGTCCAACTTCTTATCTTTGACACAAGGTCTCACTCTATGGCCCTGGCTGACCTGGAACTCGTTTACCCAACGAGCTTGGGACTCACAGAGTCACCTGCTTCTGCCTCCCAAGTGCCACGGTTAAAGTCCCGTGCCATCACATCTGGCAACAACCCCTTATTTTGCTGCCAAATCTAATTAAGAGTCGCTTTATGTTAAAACACTAACAAACATGTTTACTAGCATCCTGTTCTTAAGTTACATAAGCTATTTATTTCATATTGTATTAGATACAAGCATTGCTCAGACACCTCTGAACATGTTGATGGAAACACACTCTGAAATAATGAAGAGAAAACTGTATTCCCCTTAATATATTTCTGACTTACGTATGAAAGAGACTGGGGAGACCTGAGGGGAGAACCAGAAAATATACCTTATTAATAAATAAATAATCCCCATTCAAATGAGGACCAGGCTCTCTGATTTGCAAATGTGCCAGTGTAGAATTTGAAACTGTCAGATTTAACAACAAAAAAAGTACTACATCCAGTTTTACTGGAATTTCAAGAAAGAGAAAAGAAATGGATGACATTTCAAACATACTTTTGCCTAAACATTTCTTGTTTATATGAAATTCAACTTAACTGAACATTCTGCATGTTAATCTGACAATCCTAATTGCTGCTGGTAAGGAAATAAAGTTAATATGTAATCAACCAAAAAGTATCTATGTAGGAAACGTGAGCTAAGGCATGAAACCATGCACAGCAATACTGTCCTCCTGTCATTCACAAACCAGATAAAAACCCATCTGGAAAAAATTAAAAAAAAAAAAAAGAAAAGGAAGTCATTAGGGTGAATCACAAATTTCCTGAACAATGGGAACAAGTGAAGAGGTGAGCGGTGGTTGGTCAGTGAACTGCAGCCTTGCCTATGGC